TTGGTTTCCCGTCGACGAAACGCAATTACAAGCCGAAGCGATTTTGCAACGTTACTTTAAGCAGCGAGATAAATACGAGTACAAACGCGATCGAGAGAGAGTGGTCGTAGCAAAGCCCTCCTCTGCGAACAAATCGAGCAACTACCATTGTAATCCAAAGTCGAGGGTAGCGAGAGCCAGACGTCTCGCGTTAACCCCGTGACAATGCGAGGAACGCAAATGGTTGGCGTAATTCGCCGGTGTCGAAATTCGTGGGTCCGCGTTCTCCAGACATCTCGACCCTCGTTGCGAACTCTCCCTAGGGAACGTTCGAACGTTTCCCCTTCGATTTTCGCCCGTCGGCGTTTCTCGCGGAAAACATAGTCGATGTTGCCTCTGTTAGCCGGCTAGTCTTTCACCGAGTATCGTAACGAGTCATCGAGTAATTCGGTTGTCGTCGAGCGTTTAGGCGCTCGCGAAATCCAGTAACGAAGGTGCAAACGCGTCGCGTCGTCTCGCGGCAGGAAATTCATTAGCGACTCAAAGCGTCCTTGTAATTTGCGACGAACCGGTTTAACTATACGGTATCGAAGCGCCGAGAAACCAATTCATTTTCAGCGCGAAATTTCGCAGTCACCGGATAAATTCGCCCGAGAGAAAGGAAACAAATCTGACGATGCGATTCGAAATACATCAGGCGCGTTTCGTATTAAGCCTTCGAGTCGCAATTCCGAAACTCCGAAGGATCGTAACCGCGAGACACTACAATGGCCGTCGAGTCCCCGGAGGAATTTGAATAATTCCCGATACACGACCCCAACTTCTCGATTCGCGCAATTACGCGCTATCGAAGACGTTCGACTTCTTGATTTCCTCGGGAAACGTGTCGAATATTAACCGAGAAGACGGCGAACGCTAATTGCACCGAAATTAAAATGTAATTGGTTCGTAACGTAGCTGGTTTTATTTGGTCGCAACTCGGAAAACACTCGGAAGTGATCGCGTCGGAAGAGCACGAGAGAGAGAGGAAGGGAAAGTTAATTAAAAGTCAACAAGGAAATTGGATAAAGTTTTTTCAGGTGTTTTTAAAAAGCGTAGCGACGCGCTACGTAAAACGAAAAGAACAGCAGGTATTTTCGTCACGGGTTACAAAGCTCCCCGTTTTCGTGGTTGAAGTTCGACGGGATTCGCAACGCGGCATTTAAATTAACCCGTTAACGAGAAAATCAAGTGTTTTGCGTCGAGATAGTTCGAATAGCGCGGCGAGTTATTAAGGCTGAGGTTAGAGCGGCGGTTAACGAGAACACAATTGATGGCTGCGAAGGAAAAGTTGCGCCTACGGTTCCGCGCGAGGCAGGCGCGTTAAAAGTCGCGTTATTATCTCGATTCAGGAACGCGTGAGCCTTCTCGAAGAATACGCAAGTGGATATTTGAGGAGCACGGAAACAAAAGGAGGAGGCGATGTATATGCGAAAACAGTGCTCGGCAACGCGATAACTGGAGCGAAAGGAAAACGTTTGGTTTACATTCCCAACGCAGGGCTGCTGTAAAAGATTGTTTTTTTTCTCTATTCGCGCCGTCCCACCACTCACCGGTTCCCAAACTTTCGCGAAGAAGCAACTCCGAACTTGCACGGTTTTTCCTGAGGGGCTGAACTTTAGCAGGGTGTGATATAGCTGCCGGCACGATCGCGAACGCGTTCGAAGCCTTTTCTTCCCGTATTCGGTCCGGGAATGGTCGACGGTAGCTACTTCGGCGCTGGATTTGGCGAACGAGCGCGTTTACTCTCGTTAAGGCGAGTGCCGTGGGCTGATTTACCCTCTTTACTCTGCTGCGACACCGACCGAATCTCCCCCGGGAGAAGGCCGGAAGAGGCAGGAACCGAGTAAAATCGTTCGCCTTACAAGATCCTCTTATCCTCGGCGAGGGCACGCGAAGAGATTGAAAAGTTTTCCCCGTCAGAGCGCGTCCCCTTTCCTCGTTACAATGAAAATTCGTCGACTCGATCGAATTGATTATACTACCTTCTCCGTTCGAATCGAACGGGAAATTAGAGAATCGTATCGGGCCGATATCTGCGAGGCCGAAAAAGCTGTTGTTGCGCGAGATTTATTTCGGCAGGACGCGCGACGTTGAGGACGATCATTAAATACAAGGCTCGTCGGAGCACGATAAAGAGTAAAAAATACAATGGGAAGGCTTCTATGTAAAGAGTGATTTAACGAATGGCATTGTTATCGTACCGGGGTGAAAAATTATGGAAGCTCTCAAAGCGGACAGGAGCCGGGAGACGGAAACGAAGGCGCGAGAAAAAGCGGGCACCCGCACTGGGTAAATCAATAGCTCCTTCGCGAGTAACGAAGAAAAAGATGTCTAAATAAGTATCCGTGGTTTCTTTTGTCCCCTCGGTTATTCCTTCGCCTCTGATTCAAGACACTCCTTTAATAAACTTCGCGAATTAATGTTTCTCGTTTTTCCTTAAACCTCCGCTTATTTCCAGAAATATAAAAATGCTGCCACCGACTACTTTTATTGATACATCGGTTTAGAGCTAACGCCAAAAATAGCTGTACGATGAAAGATTTCTGCGTTTGATAGCACGGCGAATGTTAAGCCAGCAATAAAAAGGCGATTACTTTGTTCATAGGAGACCGTTCGAAGGAGGGACGAAACGTTGCTTATACCGTCCGCGTTTCTACGGATTCAGGTTGTTTGTACGCTTCTTTCGTTTCACGAACCTCTTCACAGACAGCTTTTGCTATTGTTATCCGCAGAGAAAGAGGTGGTATTATGGCGAGCCAGTTTGATTTTTCCTTATAAAGTCTGATCTTTCGCTCCGACGACAAACGTTTGCCAAAATTCTACCCACACTATTAAATTCCTGTTTACTGAATTATATCAAACATTTATTTATACAGATGGATCAATTTATAAGTTTATCTAAAAATTTATCCTTTTTGCACGATGACAGAGATGTCCACTTGTATTTGTTCAAGTTTGTTCATTCAAAGTTGTTCACTGAAAACTTATTTGTTCACCAGAAAATTACTTCACTCGTTACACAGTATATTAGACGAAATTGTATCCGAAATATGAAAACGAGGAAAAGTTATTTTCCTAAACGATATAGGATTAAGAACGCAAAGTGGTAGCATAATTCGAAACATAATTTTTGATAAAAAAGCTGAAGATCCATTCGTGTCTACTTTCAGCGGAGGAGCAGCGGTGCGCGCGTTCCGTTATAAACGAGCAACGTCCTCGGTGAATATTTCAAAATGCGGTTTGCAAAGAAAGCGAGAATAATTTGTAACGTGAATTGGACACGCGGCACAAAGGTGTTTCGGATGAAAAAGCGCAATATGTTGTCGAGCAACGTCGTCGTCATTTGTACCTGTTGAAGCAATCGCGTACACGGTGAAGCGTAGCCGAAGTACTTACGGCTGTTGGCCATTTCTATCGACTTTGGGATTTTATTTTTCTCTGGCCGGTATATTTCGATCGAAACAAGGGCTCTTCAGCGAAGGAATATTACGGCGATCGGAAAGAAATTTTGACGCTCGTGTCGTTCATTGTCGCGCGTAAAACGGGCAATAAAACGCGGAGAGAAAAAGACGAGGGAGAGCGGAAAAGAGACGAGAGGAAGGAAGGAAGGAAGGAAGGAAGGAAGAGTGACGGATAGACGAAAGAATAGAGGAGGAGCGGGAGGAAAGATAAAAGAGGGGTCTCGCAGGCTTCTCGTCAAAAAAGATGAAGTCACCGTGGTTTTGGGGTGGTACAGAGAAGAGGGGTGGGCGAGTTCTTTAAGGTAGGGGGCATGCGCGGCGTCCGGGGTTCTACGGATTCAGGTTGTTTGTACGCTTCTTTCGTTTCACGAACCTCTTCACAGACAGCTTTTGCTATTGTTATCCGCAGAGAAAGAGGTGGTATTATGGCGAGCCAGTTTGATTTTTCCTTATAAAGTCTGATCTTTCGCTCCGACGACAAACGTTTGCCAAAATTCTACCCACACTATTAAATTCCTGTTTACTGAATTATATCAAACATTTATTTATACAGATGGATCAATTTATAAGTTTATCTAAAAATTTATCCTTTTTGCACGATGACAGAGATGTCCACTTGTATTTGTTCAAGTTTGTTCATTCAAAGTTGTTCACTGAAAACTTATTTGTTCACCAGAAAATTACTTCACTCGTTACACAGTATATTAGACGAAATTGTATCCGAAATATGAAAACGAGGAAAAGTTATTTTCCTAAACGATATAGGATTAAGAACGCAAAGTGGTAGCATAATTCGAAACATAATTTTTGATAAAAAAGCTGAAGATCCATTCGTGTCTACTTTCAGCGGAGGAGCAGCGGTGCGCGCGTTCCGTTATAAACGAGCAACGTCCTCGGTGAATATTTCAAAATGCGGTTTGCAAAGAAAGCGAGAATAATTTGTAACGTGAATTGGACACGCGGCACAAAGGTGTTTCGGATGAAAAAGCGCAATATGTTGTCGAGCAACGTCGTCGTCATTTGTACCTGTTGAAGCAATCGCGTACACGGTGAAGCGTAGCCGAAGTACTTACGGCTGTTGGCCATTTCTATCGACTTTGGGATTTTATTTTTCTCTGGCCGGTATATTTCGATCGAAACAAGGGCTCTTCAGCGAAGGAATATTACGGCGATCGGAAAGAAATTTTGACGCTCGTGTCGTTCATTGTCGCGCGTAAAACGGGCAATAAAACGCGGAGAGAAAAAGACGAGGGAGAGCGGAAAAGAGACGAGAGGAAGGAAGGAAGGAAGGAAGGAAGGAAGAGTGACGGATAGACGAAAGAATAGAGGAGGAGCGGGAGGAAAGATAAAAGAGGGGTCTCGCAGGCTTCTCGTCAAAAAAGATGAAGTCACCGTGGTTTTGGGGTGGTACAGAGAAGAGGGGTGGGCGAGTTCTTTAAGGTAGGGGGCATGCGCGGCGTCCGGGGGTGCAGGAGGCCGTCAGGGGGTTAGTCGCTTGCCAACAACACGACGCGTCGCTCGCGCGTCGCGATCGCTCGTCTTGTACTCGTATCTTCTCGCTTTTGCTTTCGATTTCGCGCGTATTTCTCGAATGCGGCACCTTCGGGTGCTTTCGAGATACCGTGCTCGACCGATCGCTCTCTTCGGTGCCTTCCGTCATCGCGCGCGAAACCGATCGACTGCACGCGCGTCCCAGCAAAGTTTCCATCCGATAATCTCTCGTTTCCCGGTGCTTTCGCAAAGTGAAGCTTCCCCGAAGCTGCGTTAAGATGGGACCCGGAACGGACAGATCGAGGAGTTTCGCGGCAAAACCCTGAACCGGTGTCCGAAGATTCTATGGTGGGGATCGAAGTGATCGTTCGCGAGTGGACGAAGGTGCTCGTGCGATTTTCTTCGTTCGATCGAGGATCGAGTTTGCTCGTCGCACGGGACGCGCCAGTGCTGTGATACGAGCAGACCGGAAGCCACCGCCTCCAGAGTACTGCAACGTGTTATCGTCATTGCAGGGAACGACGCGAAAAAGTGCGCGTTACTTCGATTCCCATAGGACTGTAGGATCTTAAGACCACGAACAGTCAAGGTACGTTCCGTGGACGTTCCTCCAATTCACAGAATTGTCACTAGTATGAAACGCGACGATCCATCGACGCGCGTCAGCTTGATTATTCGACCTATGGACGGGAATTAATTCGGTAATGAGAGACCCCATACGAATGCGGTGTAAATCACATCGCGATACCTGCAATCTAACGTAATAGCAGTGCGGAGTTACGTTTATTATGTACGTAATGGCATGTTCTTCGGTGTAACGCGTTTATTTGCGCGAACTAACGAATTTAATTCGCGCGAATGCGTTACGTAACGGTGAGCATATATTGAAACTAATTACGAAAATTTTACGTTTCCTGTTTACGGATGAAATTGGTGGATCATGAAACCTATAGGCTATTGCGTGAGCTATCGATGCACGAGATTGTAACCTGATTCCGGCGCAATTGCCTCGAATTAGGTTTCGATTTTGTGCAAATTTTCTGCCGTTCGAGAACGAGCTGATATTTTGTAAATCCGCGCGTCGAGAGGATTTCTTTGACGACGGAATCAAATTGCCTGCCGCTTCCGTCGCTCCCTTAAGAATGAAAAATTAGTGAAATTGTTCAGTAAATTTCTCGTTTCATCGCGGAAAATATGAACGGGCGACGCTGTCCCGTTGAAGGGAAAATTAACGGAGCACCGAGAGATAATTGTTGTTCATTTCGCACTCGTCAACGCGGACGTCGATTATCAGCGACTATCGCGTGTCTCCGTTCCCGTTTCAATGGAACCAGCCGCGTTTTCAACGCGTTTAACTCGATTTAATTGAAATCGGAGCGTTTAGCGCGAGCTTACAGCTGTGCTTTTCGGCAACGTTCAATTTTATTCGGGCCGCTCGATAAATACCGTAATCTCGCGAATCTTGACGTCGGAATTATAGTGAAACGTCAGGAGGGTCATTTACGTTGTAATTTCGCGGGAATCATAGTAATCGTAGGCCGATGCGTGACTCGGGAGAAAGAGAGGGAAAAACAAATGGGGGATGAATGCTGCCGAGGGTGCGCAACAAAAAGCCGAGCAAGATTTTGAATATCGCGAACACACGACTCTTCATTTTCATTCGTGGAACGTAATTTCGGCAATTGCAGCGAATCGATCGAACGGCTATTTCGAAATGCGGGACGTTCCGAAGAATCGCACGTAGCCGGACGGCGACTGTTTTCTCGCACAATAGCTAAAGAGGAGATTACGCCGGCTGATCGGTGGATAGCTTGAAAACGATCGATCACTGCTGAATTTTCGACTCTGTTTTCCGACCGACTTTTTTCGTGGCGTCTTTCGACGAAAAGACTGCGATTGTCCCGATTGGTCCGCGGGGAAACCATCGAACGTAAATGGAGTTGTCAATTAAGTAATGATGTCCATTATCGGTGAAGCGAATTTGCGAGTACCGAGTGAATCGAACAGCGGATATAGCTACGTCCTTTAATAACTGCTAATCCCGCATTATTATCGGCCACCGATGATAATCGTTCGGGAACGCGACTACGAGCAAATTGAATTTAATATAATACGTAGATAACTTGGCGAAGGCACGCTTCGGCAAAAGGGACAAAGAGAAGGAGGGAGAGGACGATGTAAACGATATCTGGTGATCGGTATTGGCGGGATCCTGCAAGAGCATAAATGCCCGATAATAGGTAATTAATTACTTTGATTACGATTAGGGCGTTACGTAGATTGTTCCGCTGTGTAATTGATCACTTTGTTAATTGCCTTTCCATTTAACCGAACAAAAGAACGCGAAAGTTATCAATTTTTCTTTCTCGAACCGGTAAATTCGGAGACGCGATGAGCTCGTAAAAATTGCAGCATGATAACGTTTCGACTCGGTCATTCGTTCTTTCGCGTACGAGCGTATGTTCGATCGGTTCGACGCTGATTTTTCCCACGGATTTTCTCCCTTCGCACAGCTATTCCGAGGACACAACGAAATACGCGATATCGTCGGGTGTTTTCCGCGAAAATTCGCTGGACATACACGGAATTACGGTGTTTCTGATAGGTGACCGTGTTTTATCCGGTTCCGCGGATATTCGGTTGGTCGTGTAATTGGACGCAGATGCCGCGGTGGTTTTCTGAAAGCGCGCGTACGTGTGGACGCGTGTGCGAAGAAATATGCCGGCAAATTGGAATAATCAGGCGAACTTTAGATTTCGTTCCGCGCGTACTAGCTTGCCGGTATAACCATTGTTTCCGCGTTTTACTTTTTATATCACGCGGTAATAGCGTTCGGATACGCGGCTGACAGAGAAATCTCGGCTAATGGAAAAGTATGAGAATGCGTCGGCTAAGCTCTGTAATAATATCGTAAGAGCAGCGAGATCGGGTCAAGCCACGAACTGGGTCATAGATAGAAGAAGAGTTGATACCGTATCCGGGAGTGTGTTTCAATATGTATGCAAATTCAAATCAATTAACCCACAATAATACATTAGAAACACGATGTACGAAGGATACGTTTCGTGCCGTACATATCGCGTGGCAATTAGCGACGCGCTTTATGAAACGCGACGTCCTTTATTTATATTTCAGATACGAAGGCATCGAATCAACGAAATTAATACCTGCTCGCGAAAAAGGAGATAACGGATTCGCAAAAATTATATATACGAATTAGCGAAACAAAGCTGAAATTTTATTCGGCGATAAATCAACGATGTAATTTATCGAGCCGTGCTCGGCGCATTAATTTCGCGTAAATTATCGGATTATATGCTACTTCGGCATTTATTATAAGCGCGCTAGTCACCGTGGGTTGGCATAATCGCGTCAAAGGTAATTGGTTCGACGTACGATAGCATGTTGCATTTAACGGTATAATGTGCCGTTTCGTTTGTCATATAAATTACCGGCTTTCCGTCGGCGCGGATAAGTTATTTGACCGTCGGTCGCGTCAGGAATTTCCTTGCGAAGGATATACGCGATTCGATCGGACAAACAAGGCCGAGATTAAATCGTCCCGACGATGAAACGCGGGACACTGCGAATTAGTTTCCGTGACCGTAATTACATCAGTCGCGGTCCCGTGTTTCTTCCAGATTGCTCTTTGATAATTAGGAGAAAGTTGCGTCCGACTAACGAACTGCGGATTTCGGATTAACGACTGTTCTTAGACAGGACAAAAGGTAATGAAAGCTTACAGAAGCTATCGCGTAACGATCCTAATGGGAGAGGATACAAAAGAGAAACGAAAAAGAGGGAACAGGATAAAGGAATCGAACAAACGCGGTGAGACAAAGGGAAACGGAAGAACGGAAATAAATAAAAAGAACAAAAGGGAGTCGGAAAGAAGCCGTGGAAAAACTTGTCAACGAACGAATGTCATTCGGCCACGGTGTCTAATTCAACGGGTCGCGAATAGGTCATGTATCTTTGATGAAGTCGAGCTTTCGACGGATACGATTGACCTGTATATTCTTGGCCTACCGCGCTAGCCGACGAAGCTTAATTATTCAAAGACAGAGTAACGCCGTTACACGACACCGACATCCACACTGTCGCTTCCGCGTACACGATTACCTTCGTCCCTTTACTGCACCGGTTATTTAATTTTGTGACCGAATCCTCTACGACCCTTATCCTGTGCATTAGTCGTAATCTTGCTCGTTAAATACAGCTTTACGCGGGATTCGCAGCATTAACGCGGTCACTGAAATCCACGTTCGATTCACGAACTTGCAGTTCCGCGGTTTGCGATTCGAACTTTGCCGCTTTGAGTCTTCAGAGTTACACGAACTGTGCTCGAACAATGTTTTTTCGCGAGCCAGTTTCGCCCCGTTCGAATTTCGTTTTTCACGCGTGAAATTTTCCGGGTCTCGAAAATTTGACTTCGTTCTTGGCTGACCCAGCGGGTCAACGAAGGCAACGCGGTGATAAAGGTGAATAGTTCAAAGTGCACTTAACCGAATAAAAACGCGTCGAGACCACGATGTTTTCTGGCCTGACTATTCGCGCAGTCGCTAATTAAGCTCTCAATTTTAATGCACAAAACTCGACGTCTATTGACCTGGCGACAGCTCGTCCTCGACATCGTTACGCGAGTAATCTTCCGTGTGATACGCGAATGACCCAGATGTAATAATCTTCTCGTGCCGTTTAAATATTATTACACGCGTTATTTACGATGATCTCTTTTTCGTTGCGTTGGCATCGTGCAAACGGCGCATAAACGGCGAAAGGCCGAGCAAAAGGTTTTAACATTAACCGTGTACAAGAATTCGAGGTACGCGGCTCGAAAAATAAACGCGAAACTTGTTCACGGTCCTGGCGAAAAAATAAACCCGTCGTATATAAACCCTTTGTTTTGTAATTATTTTCCTAGCTTGCTCTCGACCAACCATGGGTTTATTTATCCTGCTTTTGACGACTTATCTTTGGCGTTTCGGTAAAATGCCCTGTAAAGCTCTCGTTAATAATTACTCATTCCAGCGGAACGTATGGTTCTGAAGTATTAACCGAAATGCGAACGAATTTTTTCCACGAACTGTCGAAAATATGTCAGGTTAAATTTCTCATAAAAGCGAGCTAAAATTCTGTTTGCGATACATTGAATTTTTTCGAGTACAATTTTCGCAGGGCAAAAGCTATCGTTTTTAATGGGAACCATTGTTCCTTGCAAAGACAAAGCCCCATTAAATCGAAGCAGAACTGATTAATTCGAGAAATATTCGAGATATGGCTGGTGCACGTCGATGTTGGGAATATAAAGGAACTGATACGCGAGCCGGCGGGCAACGCTTTTCTCCTTTTAAGCGACAAGACGGCAACCTTAACCCGATTCGCAGAAGCCCGTTTACTCGGTTACTTTCTGGTAGACGGCTGAGCGAATCTCAGATTTCCTCTTCATTCATTCGCCTCTTCGCGTTCTACCGTGGAAGAAACTCAAGCACCAGTAGGTCTCGAAGTGCTCCAACCATCGATGATTCACCCTCGGGAATCTAGCGTCGAAGATACTCGAAAGGACGAGTCGGGTTCTCGTATTTCTTC